TATCTTATCAGATGCTTTTTCTGCATTTATTGATAAGATCGTATGATTTTTATGATTTCTTTTGTTAATGTGGTGTATTACATTGCTTGATTTGTGTATGTTGAACTATCTTTGTGCTCCTGGAATGTACTCCACTTGATCGTGATGTATTATTTTTTTTATGTACTGTTGTATTCAATTTGCTAGTATTTTGTTTAGGATTTTTGCATCTGTATTCATTGAATATTGGTCTGTAGTTTTCTTTTTTTGTGTTATCCTGCCAGGTTTTGATATCAGGGTTATATAGGCCTCATAAAGTGTGTTAGGAAGTATTGTCTCTTTTTTCAATTTTTTTGGAAGAGTTTGAGAAGAATCAGTTTTAAATCTTCTTTGAACGTTTGGTAGAATTCATTGGTGAAGCCATCTGGTTCTGGACTTTTATTTTTTGGGAGGGTTTTTATGGTTTCAATTTCCTCTCTGTTTATTGTTCTATTTAGATTTTCCAATTCATCATGATTTAGTCTAGGAAGGTTATATAGTTCTAGGGACGTATTTATTTCATCTAGGTTAATGAATTTGATGGCATATAATCTTTCATAATATTCTAGTATGATACTTTGCATATCTGTGATGTCTGTGGTGACTTCTCTCTCATTTTTTACTTTGTTTATATGAGTCTTTTCCCTTTTTTCCTTAGTGTGTCTAGGCAGTGGGTTGTCAATTTTATTAATCTTTTCAAAGAACCAGCTCTTTGTTTTATTAATTTTTATATAGTCTTTTTGTTCTCTATTTCATTAAATTCTGCTCTAATTTTTAAATTATTTTCTTTCTTTTGCTGACTTTGGGTTGCTTTTGTTCTTCTTTTTCTTGTTCTGTAAGATGTGATGTTAGGTTATTTACTTGGGATTTCTCTTGTTGCTTGAGATAGGCCTGTAATGTTATGAACTTCCCTCTTATTACTGCTTTTGCTGCATCCCAGAAGTTTAGATATGTTGTATTGTCATTCTCATTTGTTTATATATATTTTGATCTCACCTTTTATTTCTTCTTTCACCCTGTCATTTTTAACTTATTATTTATTTTTAATTTAAAAAATCTTCATGGGTGAGACTATTACAGATATTCTCCCCCCCCCCCCCCCATTGGCCCCCTTCACCCGGTTCCCGCCCCAGTTCTTCACAACCCTGGAGAAGTGCCTTGGAGAGGGCTTCTTTGGATTGAGGTAACTAGGTGTTCTGTTTGCTTCTTGGATTCAAGGTTCTAGTTCTTTCATAGGTTTGGACTTCTGTCCACTATGTGCTTGAATAGACTCTCCATTCCCTTCTCCCTCTCATTTTCTTCCAAAATGCCTATTATGCTAATATTGCTTTTTCTGTTGGACTAAGATAATTCTCATAGAGCTCTTTCATTTTTCTTTATGCTCAGGTCTCTCTCTTCTTCCCTCTGTGTCATTCCTAGATTCCTATCTTGATATCACTAATTCTTTCCTCCATCTGGTTGGCTCTGTTTTCTATGCTCAGTAGTTCACTCTTTTTTTTTTAATTAATATGTGTTTTTTTATTGATTTTATAGAGAGGAAGGAAGATGGTGAGAGGAATAGAAACATCAATGATGAGAGAGAATCATTGATTGGCTGCCTGCTGCACACTCCCACTAGGGATTGAGCCCATAACCCAGGCATGTACCATGATCGGAAATAGAACCCTGACCTCCTGGTTCATAGTTCGACACTCAACCATTGAGCCGCACAAGCCTGGCAATAGCTCACTCTTAATCCCCTTAATTGCTTGGTTCATTTCCGAGATTTCTGATTGGTTCTCTTTTAAAGTTTGAATCTCTTTGGTAAAGTACTTGTTTTGTTCATTGATTTGTTGAATGGAAATATTTTGGGTAGCCCTAGCTGGTTTGGCTCAGTGGATAGAGCATTGACCTGTGGATTGAAGTGTCCCAGGTTTGATTCCAGTCAAGGGGACATGCCCGGGTTGTGGGCTTGAGCCCTAGTGGGGGCCTGCAGGAGGTAGCTGATCAGTGATTCTCTCTCATCATTGATGTTTCTATCTCTCCCTTTCTCTCCCCCTCTGAAGTCAATAAAAAAATAATAAAAAAATATATATCGGGTAGAGGAATTCATAAGGACTCCTATACTCTGTATTTGTTTAGCCACATATTTGATACAATGCCATGCTTAATTAATATTAGTGTCAATTTACAAAAATCATGCTCTTTGCAAGATAAAAGCGTTTTATGTAAAGCAGGCAAACTTAAGAAATATATGCTTTCTTGGTAATGTGTTTATTTATTAAGTGCCTAGTGCAGTGATGGCGAACCTATGACATGCGTGTCAGAGGTGACACGCGAACTCATTTTTTTGGTTGATTTTTCTTTGTTAAATGGCATTTAAATATATAAAATAAATATCAAAAATATAAATCTTTGTTTTACTATGGTTGCAAATATAAAAAAATTTCTATATGTGACATGGCACCAGAGTTAAGTTAGGGTTTTTGAAAATGCTGACACGCCAAGCTCAAAAGGTTCGCCATCACTGGCCTAGTGTATGTTATAAGATCTTAATCGCTAACTTTGTTCTCATAGACGATTGGGTTTGGTTTGCTGTTTACCTTATGTGTGTCCCGTTTCCTCAGGAGGCCATGAAATTCAGAATGAGTCCACGGTGTGACGCTCCCAATTCCAGTGTGACCTAGTACTCTCTGGGGCGAAAAAGCACAAAAATATTGTCAGCTGCACTGTAGACCCTCCTTCCTCCCCCACCCCCTCCCCCAATCCTCTGTTACTTTTTCTGATATCCATTGTAAGCATGGACAGAAGAAGGGATTTCAGGGCCAGTCTTTGGACAGTCGATGATCAACAAATCCTAGTTGTGCTTTCTAACCTTTTGTGCATAGCAGCACACAGAACATGGTAATATTTTTTCTGAGGTAAACAAATGAGCTTCCTTGAGACTGGAGGTGTCCATTGTCACCTACCCACAATCTGTAACCAATTTCCCAGTATGTCTGCAAGTTTCTAAGCTTATTATATACAGGGTGTTCCCCCCAAAATGTATATATACTTTGAATAATTATTAATTCCAATGGGTTAAATCTTAAAAGAAAGACACATCAATCGAACTATCAGCTATCAAATGTGTATACATATTTTGGGGATACCCTCTATATGAAAGTATTCTGTAAACGATAATGTGCTATTCATGATAAGATTTTATTAGTAATTAATTACTATTAAGACCAGGTATTTATTCTATAAAAGAACTTTGTGTACTATGATTTCTTTGTTTTGGGAACTGTTCTTAAAGAACCAGGCACAGATGCCAGACCAGTTGCCAGAGTTAAGGTCTTGTATGTGATTTGGTGCAGTAGTGAAGAGAAGTGGAAATGCTAGTGGTCACGGTCATATGGTTCAAGACTTCTTATAAGAGATCAAACAGCTGCTGAGATTTGTTAATGATTCTGCTATTTCCCCTCATAAAATTCTTTACCCTCCCTTCTGCCTATCCCAGTTTTTTCCCAAGTTATGCCTTCTTTGTGAATTCTTTCCTTATGTCTGCTTCCTTCCTCCCAGGTAAAGGTCATACTCTATACTCTGTGCTACATTATACCTTGTACAAAGCTTTATTGATTGCATTTCTAACACTGTACTGTTTGTTTCACATATTTCTTTTCCTACTAACTTGTGAGCTCCTTGAAGTTGTGGCTGATGAATCTTTGTAGCTCAAGCTACCCCAGCTCATTTTATTCCATTCTTTCATTAGGCAGGCTTGACTGCTCTCTGAATGGAGCTAAGGGCTGCCTGTGCCTGTCTCCCAGGGTCCCCTCTCGCAGGGAAGCACTCCACGCTCAGTTCATCACGCTGGTCTCCACATGTTAGATCATCTCCCAGCTGGAGTCCCGCACAATCTCCGTTTCTCTGGGCTAATTATTTTTATATTGATAGTTTGCTTTCCTGGTTTCTCGTTTTTGTGTAAATAAGTATGAGTTTTCTTTACCTCTCCCAGTGTTTAGCATCATAGAATTTTAAGAATTGAAAGGGGCTAGAATTTACCCACTTCTGGTCTTTAATCCAACTAATATTCATTTATTACATACTGATTGAGTCATTGATACTGACATATGGAGACATTTGGGGGCACCACAATATTTTGAATATTTCACTAAGAATAAAGAGGATGTTTAGATTTAGATTTAGTAGATCTTTTTAAAAGTCCATCTTTCATTGTTTTAAAATTTTTGTGCTGCTGGGTATCTTCAGAATAATGAGCAAAATAAAAAGATGTTTTATGCTAAAGCAATATATACAGTACATGAAGATCTTCAGATTTTTATAACGTTATCATTAAGAATTTGACTCCAAAGCTAAGCCACCTGGGCTTCAATCCTGGACCCACACATATAAATGTAATCTCTTTCTGTCTCAGTTTCCATATTTGTGAAACAAGGTTAATAATAATACAGGGTGTTATGAGATTTAAATGAGTTAGTACTTGCAAAGCACTAAGAATTATGCGTGACGCACAGTCTTCAGTACAGTATATGGTTACTGCTGCGCCGCCACCATTATGGAGTGATGCTAGCACCTGGGGAGACATGGAACGCCCCTTTGGAATTCCTGGTTGAACCTTACTAAGTCACCTGTGCTTACGGTATAAGTTCATTGTCTTAGTAAGAGGCCCTACATGTCATTCTCTGCGTCAAAGCCTAATGTGCCCAGACTGTAACTACATCTATGGAGTAAGGAAGTACTTTGCCACGGGGTTTACTGTAGAAGCAGTTTAAGACATGGCAGAAGACTCGTTAGCTTTTGAGTCTGTTCCTGAGACAAACTTGCTAAAAATCAATTTCCTATCTTTTTCCAAAAAGTAAATTCATTTTCTTCATTGACATTCTGTAAACAAAATAGTGGCAACTTGTGTTTTGGGCAATATAATATTTTAAAGTGAATTTAATTTTCCTTAGTAAACTGCTTTTAATGATGCAGCAGAAATTTTCTTCCCCTGTTGTCAGGTTGCTATCAAGATCATAGACAAGAGCCAGCTAGATGAAGAAAACTTGAAGAAGATATTCCGGGAAGTTCAAATTATGAAGATGCTTTGCCACCCACATATCATCAGGCTTTACCAGGTAGGAAACCCTAGTGGCTGATTGTATGGCAACAAAAACCAGCCTTAGGAAAAGAGGCCGGTGGTGAATATCTGCAGCTTGTTTTGTTTCTGTGTTAGTGTGTTCATCCTACTCTTTTCCCCACCGTTTTATCCCCCTGCTCAGTACTCAGGTGTCCTCTGGCTATTTACTACTAAGGCCATCCCACCCAGACAACTTGTTCTTTAAAACTTGGTGCCATTCTTAGTAAAAATTACACAAAAAGACAGAAGATGATGAGAACTTATTTAGGTCAGAATCCTAAAACAGAATGGAAAACTCAAAAGGAACAGAGAGTTTTGAGAGATGAAAAGCTTGAGATGAATATAACATTATTATTATTATTTAATGATCACCCGAGGATATTTTTCCATTGATTTTTAGAGTGGAAGCGAGAGGGAGAGACAGAGAGAAATATCGATGTGAGAGAAACATCGATTGGTTGCCTCCTGCACGCGCCCCAACCAGGGCCGGGGCCGGGGAGGAGCCTGCCACCAAGGTACATGCCCTTGACCAGAATCAAACCTGGGACTCTTCAGTCTGCAGGCTGGTGCTCTATCCACTGAACCAAACTGGCTGGGGCAACATTATTTTTTATAACATTATTTAAATACTAATTTCTGTGATAATGTTATGATTATGATGGCAAAGGATATTTTAAGTATGGCTTTTTGTATCAGTCAGAACCTACCTCTTTTCTATTCTAGTAGCGTCCTGACTTAGTTTTTACTTTTCTAAGGTAGCATTTGATTATTTACTTTTTCTTTTTTAAAAGTATTTTTATTGATTTCAGAGAGGGAGAGAGAGAGAGAAACGTTAGTGATGAGAGAGAATCATTGATTGGCTGCCTCCTGTACATCCCCTACTGGGAATCGAGCCTGCAACCCAGGCATGTGCCCTTGACCAGAATTGAACCCGGGGCCCTTCAGTCTGCAGGCCGACGCTCTATCCACTGAGCCAAACTGGCCAGGGCTAGCATTTGATTATTTTGATAACCAAGAGATCGAGGCTGTGTAATGGAAGAGACTTCTAATTCAGTTTTCTTGCCTTCCCAAGAAACATGAGTATTCCATGCCATCATAAAAAAATGATTGTAATTACTGGAATCCCAAGGCAAATAGGAGAGGAGGATCTTGCCGTAGCAGGCTGGTGGAAGTGGTATTTTGGAAGAGGTGGGGCTCTGGGTGCTTCTCAAGTTGCTTTGTGTTGGCAGCCACAAGCTGTGCCTCTGCATAGAGCCATCCGGTTCAGTGCTTTCTGCTAGAGCAGCCATCACCTGGTTCTGCGGGCCATGCCCCCACTCGGTGCATTTGCTGCTGTTGGTCTTCAGTCAATGGTTACCGGCCCAGAAGAAATCATGTTGTGATATTGGTATGTGTGGTTAAGGCTAGAGCTTAGGGCTCTTCTCTGGCATCAAGTACTCACATAATGAAATGAACTAGATCCACAGAGCAGACTTGTTGAAATTTATCAGACTAAATTAGGTTGAATTACGCCTGCATTGTGCCCCAGAAGCAAACTTGTGAAAGCTTTCTGGTGTTGCCTGAAGACCTGTATCGGCAAACTGAGGGGTGTCTAACCTTTGTTTCCTTCCTGTCTGATAGGCTGAGTAAACTTCTTGACCTCACTTGGTTTTTTAATTAATCATCATCTGAGGATATTTTTTCCCCATTGATTTCTTTTTTTAGAGAGAGTGGGCTGGAGGGGTAGAGATAGATAGAGAAACATCGATGTGCCAGAGACCCACTGACTGGTTGTCTCCCATACCCACCCCAACCAGGGCTGGGGATTGAGCCTGCAACCGAGGTACATGCCCTTGACTGGAATCGAACTGGGATCCTTCAGTCTGTGGGCTGACACTCTATCCACTGAGCCAAATCAGCTAAGGATCTTGACCTCACTTTTAAAAAATAAATAATCTTTAAATGATTAGAGGGCTTCTCAGGCTGACCTTTCTCAAGAAGTTAACTTACAGGTATTCTTATAACTGAATTCTGCAAGATTACCTTTCTTACCCAAGGTTTTATTAGCCTGTAAGAATTGCCATACTTTCCAGCCTTGCTTTGCACAGTGCTCTCTTTTAAGCTTTAATTTGGCTCTCTGGCTTGTATTGTTAATGAGAGATTCTGAGCTGCCAGATGAATGGCTGCCACCTTGTCTTCATATCGTATCAAGACAGTTTTCAGGTCATTTGCCAATGCTGTGGTCTCCTCAGGTTTATGAAGTTAGCCAAATACAGGTGAACTCTTGAAAAGATGAATAATAAACGAACATTTGCAGTCAGTAAAAGACCTGAGAGTAAAAGGGTTACATATACAATATGACATTTATTTTTTCTTTTATTATTTTTCTAAAAACCTGCATATATTTAGAGCACTTACTTTTTGTTATATAAATTAACATACAGAGAGCTTGCAAACATTGGGCTAATATCACCAGTATATAGCTTTTAAATTTTTTTAATCCTCACCCGAGGATATGCTTCCCTGATTTTAGAGAGATGGGGAGAGGGAGAGGGAGAGGGAGGGGGAGGGGGAGGGGGAGGGGGAGGGGGAGATGAGAGATGAGAGATGAGAGATGAGAGATGAGAGGTGAGAAACACATGGATCAGCCACCTCCTATACATGCCCCCACCAGGGATCACAACCTAGGTATGTGCCCTGACTGGGAATCGAACCAGCAACCTTTTGGTGCACAGGATGACACTCCAACCAACTGAGCCAGAGCTACATAGAGTTCTTAAAAATTAAAGAGGAAAAAGAATGACACAGTTATTAGATTGAGAAATTAAATTAATGTGAACTTACAGAAGGAATACCATGAAACCATTGAAAAAGAAGTAAATCTATCTATAATAATAAAAGCATAATATGCTAATTAAACCAGACAGCTGAACAACCTTCCTGACGTCATTTCGGACGTCCTTCGGATGAAGCTGTGGTGGCAGGGGCCAAGGCAGAGGTGGTTAGGGGTGATCAGGCAGGCAGGCGAGTGGTTAGGGGTGATCAGGCAGGCAGGCAGAGTGGTTAGGGGTGATCAGGCAGGTAGGCGAGTGATTAGGGGCGATCAGGCAGGCAGGCAAGCGTCCTGGATTATGAGAGGGATCCCATATTGTGAGAGGGTGCCGGCTGGGCTGGGAAACTTCCCCCTTGCCCCCGCACCCCCTCACGAATTTAATGTACCAGGCCTCTAGTTTATAATAATCTATAATAATAAAAGCATAATTAGACAGGATGTCCTTCTGGAAGAAGCCAGGGCTGTGAGGGAAGCCTGGGTCCTGGGTGCCAGAGGGAAGCCTGGGTCCCAGGTGCCAGAGGGAAGCCGGTGCTGGCAGCGGGGAATGGAAGGTCTACTCTTGCACGAATTTCGTGCATCAGGCCTCTAGTTGTAATATGATGCATAATAAGTTATATGGTACTAGAGACCCAGTGCATGAATTTGTGCACCAGTGGGGTCCCTCAGCCTGGCCTGTGGGATTGGGCCGAAACCTGCTCTCTGACATCCCTGGAGGGATCCTGGATTGTGAGAAGGGGCAGGCCAGGCCGAGGAACCCTACTGGTGCATGATCAAGGCTGGGGAGGGATGCGGGAGGTTGGCCAGCGGGGAGGGACTGCGGGAGGGCTCCAGGTCATGTCCGGCCTGTCTTGCCCAGTCCCGATCGGCCAGACCCAGCAGCAAGCTAACCTACTGGTCGGAGTGTCTGCCCCCTGGTGGTCAGTGCACATCATAGCAAGCAGTTGAGCAACCTTAGCATATCATTAGCATATTACGCTTTGATTAGTTGAATGGCTGAAGGGTCGACCCGACACTTAGCATATTAGGCTTTTATTATATAGGATTAATGTGTAAAGGTGTCAAAGATAAAGTAACTGGGAAATAATTTAAGAAGATTATTACCTATGAAGTGTAGTGAAAGTCTGCAATGCCTGTGTGGCTATTGAATATGCTAATTAAACCAGACAGCTGAACAAATTTGTTTGTGGCTAGAACAAATGTGGAACTGAATTTTTAATTTTTTAAAAAATTAATGTGAATGTAAAACCTGAAGCAGTTTACAGTTTTAAAAACTTTTTGAATTGCCAAAACCGGTTTGGCTCCGTGGATAGAGCGTCGGCCTGCGGACTGAAAGGTCCCAGGTTCGATTCCGGTCAAGGGCATGTACCTGGGTTGCAGGCACATCCCCAGTAGGAGATGTGCAGGAGGCAGCTGATTGATGTTTCTCTCTCATCGATGTTTCTGACTCTCTATCTCTCTCACTTCCTCTCTGTAAAAAATCAATAAAATATATTAAAAAAAAACTTTTTGAATTGATTTTGGACATATTGGGATAAATAAAATATATTATTAGAATTAATTTCACCTTTTTAAAAAACATTTTAATGTGGTTACTAGAAAAGTTAAATCATGTAGTGCTCATATTATATTTCTATTGAACAATTCTTCTCTAGAATGAAATAGAATAAGCTATTCACAATGTTTCCTCTGGGGAATAAAATGCAGGGTTTTTGGAAAGAGGAAAGCCTTTGGTCTTTGTTTATATACTAGGTAAGATATATTCCTATCGTACTTTAAAAATATTTAATGAAAAAGGTAAAAAGGAGAAAAGACTAACAATACACTACAACTAATTTAAAAAGTAACAAATATTGACAAAATATTTATAATAATTACTATTTATTATATTACTAGAGGCCCGGTGCATGAAATTCGTGCACTGGGGGGTGGGGGGAATCCCTCAGCCCGGCCTGTGCCCTCTCACAGTCTGGGACCCCTTGCTCCTTACCGCCCACCTGCTTGCTGCTCCCTACCACTCGGCTCGCTGCTCCTCAGTGCTGCCGCGGAGGTTCCTGCCACCTCCGCTGCACTCACCAGCCATGAGCCTGGCTTCTGGATGAGCAGCACCCCCCCTGAGGGAACTCATTGTAGCTCCAGGCCCTGGTTGGTGTGGATCAGTAGTTAGAGTGTCCTCCCACGCATCAAAG